CCCCAACAGCCTCTGCCAGCAGGAAATTACATTTTCAAGGGAAAAATACCTGTTTCTTTTTCGCTTCTTGGAGCTTTTCTTCTTCTTCTTCTTCACAGGCGAGGGGCTGTAGGAGGGAGACCTGAGGAGGCAGAGGAGCTTTAGAGACCTCAGGGCTCCCCGCAGCCCTCCCCAGCCACACCAGCCCTTACCCCGTCCCCAGCAGCGTCCCCCGGGGTGGAGAGGGGCTGGGAGCCCCCAGGAGGGGGAGACTGCCCCGAGGGGAGGGCGAGAAAATGGCGGCACCCTTCCGGCCTCTGGAAACACTCAGCCCCTCGCCCCCACGGCCGCCCTTACAGCCTCCATCTTACACCGACCTCCTTCCTCAGACACAGCCGAGGGCTGCCGGGCCCCTCCTGCCCCACACGCGCCCACGGCCACCCTTACCTCCTGCGCTTCTTGCGGCCGGATTTCTTCTTCTTCTTCTTTCCCCGGGCTGGCGGTAGTGCACGCTCCCCATCACACGAGGGGCTGGAGAGTGGGGAAAAACAAATAAAAATTAAAAATAATAAAAACAAAACCTGAATGAGCTCACATGGGACTGTGGTCTCCCATCACCACCTCAGGGACATCTGGGGCAGGGAGATCAGTTTTCACAGTGGACCTGGGGTGTGGGCAACTGCCTAATTACCCTCTGACGAATAATTTGGTCACAGTTTAAATGAAGTGTCTCCTCCGCGGGTCTAAGGGAGATATAATGACACAGCTCCTGTACGCCACAGCAATGCCAGCTGATTATTTCAAACATGTTTGCTGAGGTTAACAACTCCGTAACAGATTTATAGGTTTTGTTGCTCTTTGTAAATATGCTTTAAATAATTAATTGGCATTTAATTTGCATACAATAATTATTGCAACCAGATGGATCTAACTGTAATAAAAGACTTGACATATGTTAAATAGAAATTGATTAGAAATATATATATTGAGATGCTATGGTAATTTAATGATATGCATCTTTTACACAGTTGTTAAACCCTGAAAAAAACCTCCTGTAAATTAATTTCTTTTTTAAACTTACAATACTGAATTGCATTATGTTTCAGTGAAAAGCAAATATGACAGTTAAATTAATTCAGAGCACTGGGCTGAAAATGACAGATACTCTCTGGCTACTCGTTAGCCAAAGTAAATGCTTGGAAAGTCGGGGGCAGCTGGCAGTGGTCTGCAGATCCCCAAAATGACTTCCAGATCTGTCTATGGATCCCCAAATAGATCCAGCACAGCCAGCTCCCCAGGAACTTTGCAAAACTGTGCACTGCCAACCCTAAGGAAAGGGCAGACACTGTTGGAAATGAAGGTGCTGGGTTTGTGCCTCACTTTCCGCACTTCTCTCTCCACAATCAGGACTTGCCACTAGCAGAGAACGTGTGAAAGAGGCCCCACATTTGAAAAACACTGTGGGATCTTTGCTACAGAAACAGGCCAAAAAATTGAGCAGTTTCTGCAGAAAGAATAAACAAAATGCTTAATAACAGTCCTAGTGCAGAGCAAATGTCACAGCACATTGACCTGTCAGTGGCAGGGAGGGCTCAGGGTCCTGACACTTGCTCACCCAGAGCTTGAATTACTACCAAAAAAAAAAAAAAAAAAAAAAAAAAAAAAAAAAAAAAAAAAAAAAAAAATCACACAGCCTTAGAAAGCCAATTGCTTAGTGCTTTTAATATACTCTTTTTTTCTTCCTCTCCAAATTGCTTTGCAAAATGAAACTGTATGCTAATGCTTCAGTTGTGAACTGTGAATAACTGTGTTAAGTGTTTCTGGTGCAGTAAAACTGAGGTGCAACAACACCATGGCTCCAAGGAGGACCCAGATACTCCTTCCTACTCTTTCTCCTCCCAAGGATTTCACGAACCAGCAGAAGTGCTGCTGAGATATATGGTACACTTCAGGCTTGGTGGATTTTTTTCTACCTTAATGGAGGAAAAAAACATGTTTTTCAAGTCAGCTCATTGTGCTAAGCTCAGACATATCCCCAAAGCCACCCTAAGGCTCTGCCCTAGGCCGAGGACCCATCTCAGCCCCTCAGTTATGAGGATGCTCAAATCAGCTACCATGTGCCTTTCCCTAGCACAGATTTGGGCTCCCAGCAAACAGGTCTGGGGGTGTCTCAACACCCCCTTGCCCAGGGCCCCCAGGGCCATGGCCAGGCACTGCCACAGCCCAGGGAGAAAATTCTGACTGTGCCATGTGGCTGCAGGCAGTTTCTGTAGAGCCCTTCACCCTCTCGCCTTTTGCCTTTGATGTGGAAGCTTCCTCCCTGCACTGATCTGATTTTAATTGTTTCTTTACGATTGTAATCAAAGTCTAATTAAAAATATGCTTTAGATGATTGTTCCAGTTAGCCTGAAATCTGAAGATATGAAATGTGCTTTCTTGCTCTTTCTTTTCAGCATCTTTAACCAAACAGAGAGGCTTTAATCCCAGAGACAGTTTAGCAGGCAGGGCTCAGAGACCCTAGCTGCTTCATTTACAATGTTCAATTCATTTTTCCCCTCTGAAGTTGTCAGGGGCTAATAAAAAACTGGCAATAAAGCTGTGTCCTGTTGAAGCCAGTGTTGCTGGTCTGATCCAGGCATGGGGAGATGAGAATTTCTGAGGGTGATGCCCAGCCAGGGGTAGCCTGTGGTCCTGGTAGTGCACAGGGATGCTGGCAGGTTGCCTGTCCTCCAGCCAGGACTACTTACAAGGGGGCTGGTAAGAGCAAGACGTGGAGTGGAAGTGAACTGCAGGTTTGCAGGTTTCTCCCTGCAAACACACACAGGAGCTTCATACACTTGCTGTACACTACCACAGTGATTTAAGCCACCCCCAGCTCTCGCAGACCCCCAGTGGGGCTGGGTAAACAGTAACAGACACCTCCTCTGCCATTCCTCTGCTTCGGCGTGACCCTGCTCACAGCCCTGGCTCCTACCTGCGGGACCTGCGGTGAGCATGGTCTCTTCTCTCCTTCCCTTTCACACAGCCGTTGGTGGTGGAGGCCTCCTTGACTGCACGGGCACTCAGCTTTTCGGGACGTCTGTCCTCCACGGGGTACGGCAGGCAGCTGAGCGTCCCACTGCAGGAGCAAGAGGAGAGAAAGATCAATAAAGAACTGTCCATTCAGCTGGGCTCCTTGGCTGAGGGCTTCCCACATACTGGGGAATGCCCTGTCCTTTCTGCAGGCAGGACCCGTGCTGCTGTGAAGGAAAGCTGCAGGCTGCTCTCAGGCCTTCTGAGCCCGTGGTGCTCAGCCCTATGGTGGGAAATGCTCTAGAAAGCCCCATTTCTAAGCCAAGCCAAGCCCCAGTGTAGGGCGTGTGGTGCTCAGCTTTCAGGCAAAGATGCCACAAGCATCATGCAGCCAAGAAGCATCTGGAGAGCCCCATACTGTGGGAAGAGCACAGGGTTCAGGCATAATACAACTAATCACATCAGCACTTCTGATCATCTTCTCTGTTGTGGGCTTTAGCTCTACAGAGACAGCACTGGCCTTACACTCTGGTAGAGAAAAAACTTTTGCATTTTAAATACCATTCTCCAAACATGCTATTGCATTTCTAATACCTTGCTAGCACTCAGAAGTACTCCTCCCCGCTCCTATAAATAGGGTGGTGGGCCACTAAACACACCTGGTCCTGCTGAAAGCTCAAACTGGAGAAATTGGGACAGCCAATAGAGCTTAGGGGAATCGCCTGGACCAGGCAGGTGGCTGCAAGAGCCCTGGCAAGACCATGAGACTTAGCAAGGAGCAGAGTCAGGGCAGGGAAAGCCTGGGGTGAGAGGTCCCCAAGAAACACTGGGGCTTGGGCAGGGTAAGCTGAAATGGAGAAGAGAAGCTAAATGGAGAAAACAAACCCCAATGAGCCTGAGCTCAGACACTTCAGAGGAAAGTAAATTGGTTTCCAGGCCCTGAAGCTGTTTATTTCAAAGAATAGAAAGATTAATTGAAAGCCATAAACAATGCTTGGCAGGGGTGCTGAGAACACTAAGGTTTTGGTGTCATCCAGAGTATGATGCGAATAAACAAAGCAAGCATTAGCATGTCCAAGTCCAACTGGTTGTGGGGTGGTACCAATGGTGGTTTGGGCTCAGCTGGCAGTGAAAGTGTCCCCATTTCTTCCCATTATCATTTTGAAGGCAATCTCAGGAATGGGCTGTGGGGTTTAGCCATCCCCAGGTCAGCTCTGCAAGTTCCCACTGCTGTGTCTGCCACCTGACCTACCTTCTCCCTTCAGAAAGCAGCACACTGAAGCCCCCAGGCCACGTGGACCCTGCAGGAGCAGGGGGAAGGCTGGGATGTCACCCTGCCAGCTCCGCAGCCACAGTGGCTTAGGGATGCTGGGAGGGTGCTTTGACTGCAGAGACCCCCACAGCTGTCAGACGTGGGCTGTGAGGATAGGAACAAGGGGCCAGGGCCAGATGCATGCTGCACACCTCATTGATTAAAATGGGGCTAAAAGGGTGGTTAAAGATCAATGTGATGCTAAAATGGTACATTAGCTCCAATTAGGCATGGTCAGAGGTTTGCATGCCCGAGGGAACATCCTGCTGCCCGCCCCAGCCACGAGAAATACTTTTCAGGGCTGGAGTTAGCATAGGAGCACCTGCAGAAGAAGGGTCATCCCCCTCTTTCCACCTGTGTTTTCTCTCACAGCTGACTCCTTGGAGCCCAGCTTGTAATGCCGGAACATTTAAGGATGTGCATCAGCCAAATACAAGCGACAGGGGTCAGTGGAGGGAAGCTGGGTGAAATATTTCTGGCCTAGGACATGCAGGATGTGATGGTCCCTCTGGCTTTAAAAATCTATTACTCTGCTTATAATAAATCCCCCAGTCACTTCCCAACATCTATGTTATTTTTAACCATCCGGGAAGCTACATGGTTAATTGCTTTCTTTGTACAAGCTAATTAGTTTGTGGCCTTTCCCGAACCCCTTTTAAGAACAGTCTTCTGAGGCTCAATCATTAAGATCCATTAAAAATGTCCCCAAATTAATGACCTGTGCAAAGTCTGGGCTGGATCAGCTCCAGCAGTGGAGGCAGGAGGGTTCCTCCCCGGGCTGGTGGCACGCTGGGGTAATGCTGCCTTGCAGGAGGGACCCGGGCACAGAGGGCCATGTCCCTCTCACCCTGGTCCCCCCTCCCACTAATGGGATTTTCAGGTTCTGGTGTTAAAATATATTGGCCTTGAGGCAACCAAGGACTCCTGTCCTGCAACGCGCTAGGAACCATTTCTTCTGGGCTTGGAAGTAGTTATTGATGGAAATAATTATTCTCCAATTCCATCAAAGGCTGGCTTCAGTTCAACCAAATGGTCTCCTCTGATGAATGCTGAGAGTTGCTAACGCTCTAAACTGGCTGGTAATCCCCTGGCGTTAAGTGCCATAGACATTGATTGAATATATATATATAAAAACATACTTATTTTTTTCTGTCTTTCATGACTAATATGAAAGTGCTTGCAGTTTGATGTGAACGATTACTGTGGCCTCAAAGGAGAGGATTATCACACCTTCTGCTGCCGGTCCCTGCCTGCAGAAGGAAGGAGAAAGCCTCTGCGGATGCTTTGCTGGCGCTGGCCTGGGAGGGCAGCAAGGGTGCTCAGGGCAATGCAGCTGGAAGCACGGGGCTCGCTCAGCAAAGGGGACGTGCTGCCCACAGAGACTTGTGCTGGAGCAGGCAGAAGGAAGAGGAGGCAGGAAGGATGCCCAGAGTTTGCCCTGCTGGGGGGCAACACTGCTCCACCATCGCAGCCTCTCTGCCCAACGTAGGGGTTGCATGTTTGTCCCTAAGGATGCATACCTGGCCATGGGCAGCCAGATCCGCACAAGGCAGCTGCCCACCCATCCTGCCTGTCCTCAAGTTTCTTCATTTCCATTAGACAATTCAATTTCTTGCACTCATTTTTCCCCTTCCTTCCTTCCTTCCTTCCTTCCTTCCTTCCTTCCTTCCTTCCTTCCTTCCCTCCCTCCCTCCTTCCTTCCTTCCTTCCTTCCAGCCCATACATCAGACCTCTCCAGAAGCTCCATCCCTGCTCCTGACAGGGAGACCGCACGCAACGGGTCACCCACCCGGCTGCCTGCAGCCAGCTCAGAGCAAACATGCCCTGTGCAACCTCCTGCCACGGACAGCTCACCTTGTCCCTTCCCTTCGCAGAGACTCTAGCCCAGGAGGGTTTTTTTGGGATCATGGCAGTTTTTGCCATCTTTTCAGCAGATGGAAGGGAAGCAGCAGGCATGCAGGGATCTCACCTCTCACCAGTCCAAGCCTTTCACCATTTTTCACAGCCCATCTCTACATTTTGGTATCAGATTTGGGCTCTCCCATGTTTTCCTTCCTTAGCAGAATGTGTTGAAGGCAGAGGGAAATGATCTATTCCTGCTCTAATAGTAGGAATACTCTAATGATGCAGAAAAGGTCACTGGAGGGAAAGAACCCAAATATTCCTAATTTGAAGGGGGGCAACACCACCGTAAAACACTATGGCCATTTGGAGGGGAACAGGGCAGGTAATGGCCCAGGAGGTGGGGGGACCCTGTTAACAAGCCGCAAGGTGGGGAGGTCCCTGCTTATTTTTGCAAACTGCCTGAACCACTTCCCACAAGCCTTTCCCAAAGGCACAACGTGTTTCTGAATCCCACTGGGCTCCCTGCTGCTGGCAGTGCCTCGCAGAGCCTCACCACCTGAAGCCACCCCATCCTGCCTCCCTCCCCCAGGGGGCTTGCATGTCACCCCCAGTTTGTAGTGGCACCATGGAGACCAGTTAATCACGCTGCGGCCCCCACACTCCACAATGGGTCCCTTTGGGACTGGCTGTCACTGTTTGCTGGGGAGTAGTAGAAAGTCACTGACAGGCTCAGCAGGAACCTTTACACCGAGTGTCATACCGGAGCCTGAGGTGGCCAGATAAGGCCACTTCTTTGCAGAGGCCCAGGAAAATGCAGGGCTGGGGAGGTCCCACAGGGCATTTGCAGGACTTGGGAGATGTGCTGGCCTCAGCAAAGACCCCTCATGGAAGTTGCTAAGGACATGTTGTGGCCTGTAGAGCTGCAGGTGTGCCCCATGGGTGAGTTCTGGGGGCTTAAACCAGCCCAGACATGGGAAAATATTCCCCCTCCATTAGCTTACATGGGATTGCACTGCCCTTCCTGCCCACAGACAGATCCTGGCATCCTTCACAGAGGATGGGGCAAGGGCATGAGGCATTTGTTGCCTCAGGGAGCAGAGCTAACTCACAAACAATCCCTGTTCCTCCATCCTGGGCCACTGCACTCAGTGCCATGACCAAGTGCCATCTCATCAAGCCATGAAATGTGGCACTTGGTGACACACGCTTCACTGAGAGCCGAGCCCAGCAACACCCATCCCCTCCAGCCCCGCAGTGACATGCAGTCGGTGCGGGTTTGGTGTGCACTTGAAATCCCTGTGTGCTGGCATCTCAGTGCTGCCGGGGCCAGGCAGCTGCCCTCCCCTGCCTGCAGGCTCCTGCAGCCCAGCCGAGCTCCTCTGCCCCAGCCCCACAGCATTCTCCTGCCACAAAGTTTTCATCAATCATCCTTTTCCCCCACAGTAACTCATCTGAAGGGGAGAGAAAATCCAGAAAATTGCCTTCCTAGTGACCTTCCAGCTGCTGGACCCCATCACCAGGCCATCTCCCAACCTGCAATGACATCGTCCCTCACCTCCGCAGGACAGGATCCAGAAGTCCCAGCCCTTGGTGGCCATGCTGCAGCCCCTCTGCCCTTTTCAGCTGCTTTTCAAGCAGCAGTGTAAGCACACTGGGGCTAGATCATGCTAACCAAGTCTTTTCTTTTTTTTTTATCATTTATTTTGCTTTGCACATGAGGTTGTGTTGGGTGCAGGATGCACCCAGCCCCATACAGAAGCAGTTTGGAGGCCTGGAGCACTGGCTGCACTTGGCAGAGCTGCACTGACAGCATTTCCAAGCTCACGACAGAGTATTTGGGAAAGTCAATATGAAAACTTTACTGCCTTGCCCTTTCAGCCCTGGCTGGCTCCATGTTCCTATCAATTCTACAGCCCCTGGTGAAAAGGTAAGAGCAGCTCCAGCCAACT